ATATATAGAGAGAGAGAGAGAGAGAGAGAGAGAGAGAGAGAGAGAGATCAACTTATTCTAAGAGTAAGTTTACTTAAATTTATTTCACACAATAACTTATGTTTTATATCAAATTTTAGCGATCTAATGGTTGAATTAAAAATTCCTAATACATATATCAAGTTTGTAAATTTAAAAAAAAAAATTAAAAACTATTTGATGTTTTGTTTTATAAATTCAAATCAACATATAAAATATATTTATGATTATTCATCAATTTGAATTAATGAAATGAAATACCAAATAATTTTCAATTTGTTCAAAAATTTGTACACTTTATTTATATATTAATAAATTTTAATTTAACGAATAGATCATTAAAATTTGATGTAAAACATGAGTTATTAAAGAAAGTAAGTATATGTTAACTTTTTTCTGGAGTAAGTAATTTCATCCTCTCTCTATATAAGAGGATATTTCGTTCCATTAATTCAAATCAATGTACAAAATATTTTTATAATTATATATTAATTTAAATTAATGAAACAAAATATCAAATGATTTTTCAAATTTTTAAAAATTTTGTGGACTTGATTTATGTGTTAAATTTTTTTTAATTTAATGGTTAGATTGTTGAAATTAGATGTAAAACATGAATTATTAAGTAAAATAAGTCTACCAAGAGTAAATCCTAAACCTTAAATTTATACTTACTCTCTTCAATAACTCATGTTTTAATTTTAACGATCAAACCATTAAATTAAAAGTTTTTAATACATATATCAAGTTACAAATTTTTTAAAAGCTTGAAAACCATTTGAAATTTCGTATCAGTAATTCAAATTCACGATAATTCTAAAAGTATTTGTATTTTATATGTTAATTTGATTTAATAAAACGAAGTATGAAATAATTTTTAAATCTTGTAAAAATTTAAAAACTTAATTTATGTATTAAAAACTTTTAATTTAATAATTAAATTATTAAAATTTGATGTAGAAAATAAAATATTGAATGAAATGAATTGATCTTTCAATTTATATATATATATATATATATATATAT